ATAGATTTCAGATCATGGATGTGTTTTTCAAAACATGATTTATGATTTTATCTAGCTTGACTCTGAAACTTATTTTTTGGGTTGAAGTGGTTGAATGATTTATGGGTTGAAGAATTTTTGGGTCGAAAGGATGAACATGATTTATGAGTTCAAGCGATTCATGAGCAAAAACACCACGAATCCGGAATAAAATCGCATCTGAAGGAAATAACGCCGAAAAATCGAGTTTGAGCGGAGAAGATGACCGGAAAACTCATATTTAGCCAGAAACAAAGTTGGAAAACCGGCAAAACCCATTATTACCGTCATATTGGTATAATGTACACATTTCAATAAGTTCAAGAGTTAATAAAGCTCCAAAAACTAATTTAGTGACCAATTGTGACCAAAAACTAAAGTACGTTATTATTTCAAAACATTATCCCTATTTTTATTAACAAAGCAATAATATATGTCACCGTGGGTCAGACATTACAATTTTCCATATGTGATTTATTAAATTTGGGCTCTAAAACTAATAAGTTATTAAAATCAAAATATCTTATGTATTTTTTTTTTTTTCATCTAATAATATATCCTATTATAACAAAAATCACTTACTCCCCATTCTCAAGTTCAACTTAACAAGAGAAAAGAAAGGAGATAGGTGGAAATAAGAAGAAAATAAAAGAAATTGGTGTTTTCGAATTTTATTAAATGAGGGAAGTGGAAGGAAATGGGAGGATCACTTTCCCTTCTAGTTTTCCTTCCGATTTGAGAGGAGTTGGAAAGAAAGAGCAAAATGATTCATTTTCCGTCCACTTCTCTACAACTCGGGAACACAAAAGAAAATTTTGTTTTTCGTTCCTTTTTCTTCTTTTTCTCTCATGACTTTTTTTTTTTTTTTTTTTTTTTTTGTATGTTAAACTCTTCTATTTTAAATTGGTATCCTTCTAACATTCATTGATACATATTTTTCAATTACGCCTTTATAAACAACTTTATCCAAAATCCATCAAATCCAAACAATTAAATTGTTTTTGTGTTGATATATATGGTAGGTAAGACTTCAAAAACTTCATTTTCTAAAATTTTATTTTTACATACGCAACAATAATATAAATAATTAACGATAAATATATGGTTTATTTAGTTTCTCAAAGCTATTTCAAAACTAAAGAAAGTACTTTAAATTTCCAAACTAAACAAGCTAATCAAGAAACAATTAAGACTACTGAATCTGTGAACTTGCAATTCACAATTAACAAATCAAAAGCATGATATTTAAAACTTCCAAAATAAAATATAAGAAACAGTGAAAGTGTGAAGCTTGTTATTTTGAAAATAGAAAAATAAAAAATTCATGTTTTTTCTTTATAAACAAATAAATATCTTGACACAGTTTTATTTTTTTCGAAATTTAGATATAGTTAGAATTCAGTAACTTATGTTATGAGATTTAGCATTGAATCAAAATTAATAATGAATCATAACATTTTGTAAGGTTCAAGCTATTATTCAATATTAGTTTACAATCGGTAGAAATCATGTATAAAAAAATAAAATAAATGAATAAAAACAATTAAAATAATTAAAGATAAATATTAATAAAATACAAAATTAATATTTGCAAATAAGATATTATTTAAAGACTAAATGTATATATCAAACAATTTTATTACCCATAAAGTATATATGTCATATTTTGTTTCACATGTAAATTCTTTTCACTTATGCGATTATTTTGAGATTTTTATTTTTTGTTTTGTAAATTTTAGTTGTATCTATTTAATGTACAAACTATTTGTTATAAATTAAAAGGTTGGTATGATTTCAAATTTAATGTTTGATAATAATAGTTTCCGGATTGACTATCATATAAATACTTTTTGAAAATCTTTGAGTATAATATGAAATTTTGAAATACAAAATTAAATATTAGCTAATTTTATGAGATATTAATATATCCTGAAGCTCTAAGATAATGTCAGGTGGTAAATAATTTACTAATAAATATAGATACATAATAGAATAACACGTGACAACAAAAAACTATTTTTTTATATTTTAATATAGTAAGATTGGATCATAACCTCTTTCTTATAAATTGGTTGTAAACTTTCTTATAAATTCAATATTACGAAGTTCCAAATGTGTCATGTGATGGTTGAGGTAGGGCATTTGTCGTTTACTATTTTTCTTATTTTTCTTTTTTCCGTTAATGTAATTTAGTATAGGAAAATGCAACTTTTGTTTTAATATTATTAATCATTCTACTTAGTTTTTTTAATAAATGATAATATTCAACAGAATACAAATATTCTTTTATTTCCATCGTATTTTGCCATGAACAGTTATTTTTATATTTAAAATTAACGAGTTAAAAGAATTGAATATTGCTCTTCGCAATATAAATTTTTGCAAACTTTATTATGTTCCATTGATTTAGTTTTGTTTGCCTGCAAGGATATTTATAACTTACAAAACATCCAACCGATCTAATTGAGTCAATGAATTAATAATTAAGGATTTAATACTCAGTGTTTGTGTGTTTAATTTTTTTGGCTAATACTTTTTATAAAAATATATATATATATATATATATATATATATATATATATATATATATATATATATATATATGTATGTATAATCCTCCAGGATATAAAGATACAACCAATCAAATGACTAATCATTTTCATTCAATTTTAAGGAGTTAAAAGAAGAGAAATGTTACCTTTGAACATAAGTATGTTATTAAGGCTAAAAGATTCATGAAATCTAGCAAGTGAGTATCAAAATTACTCAAGCTTACGTAAAGTAATTAATTAACACGTGTTCTTATTCCTTAATCTCATTAGAGCTCAAAACTAGTCATTTATATCATAAGAGTTTTCAAGAATGAAGATGGATTTTTCATGGTGAATTCTTTAAGCACAATGTTGTAATTAAGTAATGTGTCGCAGTATATGTATGCATACCTAAATAACAGGCAATCGGGTGAGGATCAAGAAATGAACAAGAGTTCCATGAGTGTGTCATCAATGGAGAATCGTGATCATGCAATTCATAGTTCAAAAACAAAGAAGAATAAAATTATCTGGACACCAGATTTGCATAAGAAGTTCTTGGAAGCTATTGAAAAGATTGGAGTTGAAGGTAACATCTTAATTTGTTTCTATATTTTACTTTCTCTCATGGTGTTTATTGATGATGTTATATATATTGCGTATTTTATTACCTAGAATGACATTATTCGACAACTTTAATTCATGTGTTACCCACAGAAGCTGTTCCGAAGAAAATACTAGGATTGATGAAGGTGGATGGATTAACTAGAGATCACATAGCGAGTCATTTACAGAAATACCGAATATACTTGAAGAAAATAGCCGATGCAAATAATCATGTTCAAATCGCATCAAAGCCAAGCTTGTTAGAGAGCTCAATGATCAATGAAGACTCTTGGAGGAACTCTTCATTGATACCTAATCAACAAAAGAACTTCACACCTTATAGCGGAATGCATGAAATGATGAATCCACCACTTTTAGACACTTCAAGCTTCTCTTTTCCTATTCTTGAAGCTTCAAGTTCTAACCCTATAACTTCTTCTCAAGTAGCCCATTCTCATGCATTACCAAATCAAGGTATAACATTTAGGTTTAAAAATTTTAATGATATACGATCATAAGATTATATGTTTTTTCATAGATCATAACGTTTGTAGGTTATTCGATGCAAGCATCAACAATGTTGCAACAAATGACACCCAAAAGTCTTGATGATGTTGTTAACTTAGGTATAATGAGCTCGGGATATGTTAGTAGTTCCTCGTGTATGGAGAATCTTGATGGCTTCATGTATGATAATGGTGGTTCAACAACATATGTGCACCCGTATACAAGTAGTGAAATGGGTTCATTTGGTGGTCTTTACACAAATAACGAGTTACAAATGAGTTGGATTAATCATGAGGGCTCTAATGGCTTCGAAAACAATTATTCTAGCCATGGTGAAGTTGTTGAAACAGGCTTGTTTTATAGTTCAAACTCAAACATGGAAATGTCAAATTACCCGTATAATGAGATGGATATGAATATTGATTCGGGGAATAATGTACAAAATATGATAGGAGAAGATGACCTGATATTGGATGCATCCTGTATAGCTTCTCTTTGGGAGACATTCTTTCCTGAAGAATCATATGTTGATTCTTATGGTGAGTATGGGAGTACTTCAAATAATCTACCTGTTATATATGAGCCTCCATATAAGGTAACTAGCTAATCTTGATCTTGTGTAATGACAACAAAACTTTCGAAATATGATCTTGATGATAGTTTGATTTTGTTATTTTTGTTGTAGGATGTATATAGCCAAAATCTTCCAAATATGGTCTCATTTAATTCAATTCACAATAAAGATCATGTCAACAAGAAGGTATGTATATATTTTATTCGTTCGTTTATAAATATTTTACAATTTATTGCCCTAATGTATATGGTTCGTTTGCAGCAACATTCAAACGAGCATGTCAACAAGCAACTCATGGAGTCCGTTGAAGATGATGTGACCCTTCGAACCTTTTTGAATACATATGTTCAAGATTAATTAGTAAACAAATCAAGAAGTAGTTAATTTGTACCCTAATTTTCATATGGCTATGTTGGTTTGTAGACTTTCGGTTTTTATTTATAGTCCGGTGGAAACCCTATTAGTGTTTGAACTCGAGACTTCATGTAGGCTATGAAACTTGGTTTAATTTAGTCTTGGTTCATTTAAGGAATGCTTTCTTATTTCTCTTTTTTGTTACAAGTCTTTTAAACGAGTTTTTCAATAACTTTAATCCCGAAAATACATAGTTTTATTTTTCTAACGTGTTTGAAGTTTTCTATGTATATTCTTGGGTTAAATATTTTAAATGACTAATAGTATATGTACCCATATGCTTAGCTTTTATATAGTAAAACCCTAATAAATAGTTTTTTTTTATTGGATGTACATTGTAGTTTGGAAATTTTTACATCATATTTCCAACAATCTTGTCATCTTCATTAATGATCACCATGAACATAACAATCCTATTATTTGATATCAAATAGATGTCTACATCAACATAAAATTCGTTAATGATCACCATGAACATAACAATCATATTATTTGATATCAAATGGATGTCTACATCAACATACCAAATGCCAACAAATCTAGGTACAGAAAAGAATGGATAGAGAATAAATGACAAAATCAACCTCGGAATTATCCAAAACACACACATTTCACGCACTACAACACATACTTGAGTTCTTTTTTATTTCTTCTAAATCAAATCCCATTTGAACATCGGATTCATGGTAGTATTAGTGGTAGTGCTTGATGTTGGGGTAGCCAAAGAATCAAAAATCTCCCATTCGGTTGTTGCCATAGCTGCCTCCGTTGACGGTGGTTGACGTTGATCCACCACCGGAGTTGATGAAGATTTCCCAACTCTCCGCCTTGATTGAGGCGGCGTGCCACCATACCCATCTGAAAATCTCTGTTCTTGAACATGATTTCCGTCGCCATTGTTGCTTTGAGCGGAGTTTTTAAGCTTTAAAGCATCCAGAGTTTCAACATACTCCTGAATCCTTTTCACCTGAAAATTTCATGAATCGAAAATCCTTGAAAAACTGAAATCAAATTTTTCAGTAAAGAATTAAGAATACGAGTAACTAATTACAATTACCTGCAATTTCCTCTGTAATTTTACATCACCATCGACTGAAATTCCATCTAGTTTAATCAATTGATTCATTAACAACTCGATCACATTCAACAGAGTCTTCTCTGCAACTTTTCCACCTTTAGATATAACCGAACCAATGGCTGACACCTGTCCAGCAAGTCTATCGACTTCGAAGCTAATATCGGAAATGGATTTAGCAGCTTTTTCCAGTTTTGCATTCTTTCTCATCTCCAGAATCCTTTTCTCTTGACTAATTGGATCTTCCATAACCACCATTTTTGATCGATCTTTGACACCAACAGCATCAAGATATGATTTTGAATCCCTCGCTCTATCTTTATACATGAGCTTCTGATCTTCATGGTGTAATCCTGTTGGACCTGATAACATCTTCTTCAACTCCCCTGTACAAAGCCCAAATTAGAAACCTCAAACTTACAAGAATTCGAGTTTCAAAAGAAAGTAATCGAGTTATTTACCAAATGTGGCTTGTGAATTGATGTTGATTTCATGGTAAATCGACCCGTATTTGACCCGAACTCGAATTGTTGGTGGAGGAATACGGTTGGTTTCAGCATCCGGGTCGCGCTTCTGAACAAGCATTCCTCCTGGCCGGACTTCCCATTCGTTTTCATCTCCGGCGGCGCCGGGGACTGAGCCCCCGTCCATGGAAGTCTCCGGTGCCCTGTTCCTCACACGCATCATCTTCAATATGCTCTATCTTACCCAATTTAACGTCTTACTATATGTAAAACTCAGATTTAGATACTACCACCGGTTAATATTCAACCAATTCGCCGGAGAAATTTCCAAAAACGCTCGGATCAATTAGCAACTGTTCCCGGGGATGAAAATCAAGAATCTAGTCGGAAAAGACTGAATTTTTCGCAATATTGAGAGGAAACTCTAGATTTCCAAACAGAGCTCGAAAATGGCAGACAAAATCCAACTGAAATTCGCGAAACCTTCCAAAAATATCTGATCTTGCATAAACTTTTTCTCCGATTTGCCTGAAGAAACCCACTGCAAAATCGATGTAGATTCGAATCAAAAAGGGGAAATTAATGATTAAAGTTGGGAGTTTCGAAGGTTTTACTTCTCTTTCTCTCTCTTTATTATTTGGGAGAAGACCAGAAGGCAGGTAGAGAGAGATGGAAACTGAATATAAAAAAAAAAATGGACAGCAAACACACACAGAAGAACAGAGTTGAGAAATATCGTACACAGAACACATATTTATATATATGTAAATATTTTCTGTATTAATATTTATTTTATATTTTATAAAATTTGAATAGAATAATACAGCACCCACATGAGATGTCGACGAATATCAAAAGGGTAAAGAGGGAAGAATTTATTTCTTTTTATTTATTTTTAGTTTTAAGTATCCATCGGTTTTATGCAATAATTTATGGTTTGATGCATGTGAATCTTAAAACTGTTCCTGGAAAAAGGCTGACCAATAATGGAATATAAAATTTCATTAAACCGTTTGATTTGACTGCTTTAATATTTTCAAGAATAAATTTTTTTAATGGCGGAAGTTGGATTAAAAGCTAGTGACGCACTAGAAAACGTTACACATTAACATAACAACACCAATCAATTCAATTTCAAATTAAGATATTGTTTGATTAGAATCTAATTTTATATTTTGTTTGGTTGATAAATTTGATTTTAATAATATAAAATGATAGAATCGGCCTTGTTTTTTTACTTTCTTTTATAACTTATATATAAATATATATTATATAAATTATAAAATAGTAAATGGTGGTGGGTAGTAGTGTCGGTGATGTAGTGGGTCGTGGCACAGGTGGTGATGGCGTTGACTGTTGGTGGTGGTAGTGGCGATGAGTGGTTGTGGAGGTGGTGGTGGTGGCCTTGGTGATGGATGGTGGTGGGTGGTGTTAACGATGGTAGTAGTGGTGACAATGGTATTGGTAATGGTGGCAATGGTGGTGGCGAGTGAGCTTAGTGATGGCAACGATGGGTAATGGTGGGGGTGGCGGAGGTGGTGATGGTATTTGTGGTGGTGGCAGTAGTGGTAGTGTCGATGGTGGTGGTGATGACGTTAGTGGTGGTGATGGTAAGGATAGTGGCGGCAGTGGTACTGGTTGTGTTGGTGGTGACGAAGGTGTAACACCCGAGTTCTGATTATGTTTTAACATTTTATGATTGGTGGTTTGAAAGTCTAAAGAAAGGTAAATGTAAGGAGGGAAGCGGGAATGTAACATCCTTAAAATTTATGACTAAATTCTTAAATTTACAAAGTAAATAAATGAAAGAATGATTTGTAATCATCAAGGATATCATTAGTTGCTATAATTTTTAGAAAGTCAGAAGTGAAAATAGTAAAAAAGTTAAAGGTCCAAAAGTATAAAGTTGACAAAATGAGTTTAATCAAATGGTTGACTTAATTAATGGAATGGACTCTCAAAGTTATAAAATGGATAAAGAAAGACTTATTATGTCAAAACTTAAGTTAAAATCACAAATATTGAGTTTTGGTCGGTTTTAGCCAAAAGATGTAAACTTGACGGACCAAATGTGAAAAAAATGGGGAATAAGATGCATACTCTATCCCTTTCTCTTCCAAATTGTGTCCTTCATCCTAAAAACTCTCTAATGAAGAATTCTCCATCTTTAATGCAACCAGGGTTTGAATCAAAAAGGTTTTGAAGCACCAAAGTAAGAACGGAAGCAATCAAATGCTAATAAGGTATAACTTATCTTCATTTCAACATAGAAATCATTTTTGTGAAATAGGTAGAACCCCAATGTTGATTTTGGATTCAACTGAAGATTATGGTTTGGTTTTCTAATCTCCCTTTTGAGTGGTTTCCATGGTTCTAGTTACATTAGTTAGAAATGGTTGAAAAATGATGTTTAGAAGAGTTTATAACTTTTATGAGCCTCAAATGTATTTTGGTTATTTTTTTAACCTTCACCTACATTGTATAGATTGTTTCTAAGGGGTGATTGCTTATGAAGTTGAGCTAGAAGAGAGTAACAATCTATATTGGAGAATTAGGTGAGTACGTGTTGGCATTTTCGCAGTTTGGGGTACTTGGCAAAATGATTTAATGATAATGAAATATTAATGCTTTGATATATGAAACATTTTTGAAATGAAATTGTTAAATACTTATTAAAGGAATTTTTGTAAGAATGCCTTGAAAGCAAAAACGTTTTGGAAGTAAAGAATGTTTTAGAAGTACGAATGTTTTGATAATGTGTTGAAATGTTTTGAAATGTAGATGTTTTACTTTTGAAATGAGTATTTTGATAGTAATGTATGGAATGTGAAAAGCAGGGAAAATATTGAAGAGCATGAAAAGTAATGAAAAAATACATTGCTTGAGTCATGGTATCCACGTGACGGGATATAAAGGAATCTATCGAGGTGGTGCTACCCCTTCCCGAGATAGATGTCCTAACGGAAATGATGTTAGGGTGAACTGATTTTGTTCTTTTCACCTTGGTGTAGACTTATGGTACTGTTAGACGCTACGTATAAAAATGAAAACGGTTCAACATCATAATTAGCCCTTGATGAAAGAATGAATGAAATGTGAAAAGAAAAGTCTTTTGAATTTTTTATCTAATGAAATGATTTGATATGGAATCGAATATGTGGAAAAAATTTATTTGAAATATGTTTTGCATAATGAAATGTTTTGATGAAAATGTGATAAATGTTTCAGGTTACAAACTCACATAACTCACGAGACATTATTGTCCTATGCATCACTTTTTAATGTCATGTATCCCAGGTTATATGCAAGGATAAAGTGATGCTTAATAGAACCTTGATGATGTGTCTGTTGGAATAGTGTCTAATGCTGTAACTATATTCGGTTGTGCATGGTCCTTTTGGGTTGCCTTCACCATAGCAACTTGATGGATGATTTGTTAAAAGAGAGTAAATATTATAAAGGAATAATATTTGGTTATTTGATTAATATAAGTCATAAATTAATTAGAATTAATTTGGTGACTTAAAGAGATTAATTAAATAAGAGGGTATAAACTGTCAATTGTTTGATAGTTACACTTTAGACTATAAATCTTTATCCTATATAGGATGGACGATTTCTAGGGCTTGGATAAGCCAAAATCGTCCATAGGGTTATCTATGGAATGAATTTGGATAGCCTTAAGAGAAGATTATCCAATTAGGGTTTAGGTTGAAACCCTTAAGGAGTCTACAAGTATAAATAGACCCTAGGGGTGAGGGAATTCGACACACCATCTAAAGTAAGAGAACTCTGGCCGAATTCCTCCTCTCCTCTCTCCTAAATCATCTTGCTTGCTATTGGTGTTTGTAAGCCATTAGAGGAGTGACATTTGTGACTCTAGAAGCTCCAAGACAACAAGATCAACAAGGAATTCAAAGGTATGATTCTAGATCTGTTTCAATATTGTTATTTAACCTAATTAGCCATTAGAAGTCTTGGATTCAAAGCATGTTTAATTAGAAAGCCTAGATCCGAGCATTAGGGTTTTGCATGTGCACATAGGAAAGTTCTTATGGCTAAAACCCATCAGTGGTATCAGAGCCTAGCTTGGTTTTCTTTAAATTGTTGCTTGATTAACTGAAACAAACCTGCAAAATTCGATTTTTGGGTTTATGAGTCATTGACTCGGCGAGTTCCAAGGTGGACTCGGCGAGTAGGCCTGACTCGGCGAGTCCCCTTGTGCACTCGGCGAGTCCAGGCGTCAGGAATGGCCAGATTCGGGATTTTTTCATGTTTATCTTATGGAAACTTACCTTAATCATAATAGATCAATCTAAATCCGTTGTTTTATATATATATGACTATTATCTTGATCTAATTAAAGATAATTATCATCTAATAAAATATTTAATTTCCTTATATGATAATTGATTAATTATTTTGATAATTATCTTGAAAGAAATCTTAGATAAATCAAATAAAGATAATTAGGATATTAATTGTTAATTGGAATTATTTGTTATTTGATCCTCCATGTTTTTTAAATGTTTAAAACCCTAAAGTTTTGAAATTTATATTTGTGATTAAAAGTTTTAATTTAGACAACTTAAATTTCAAACCCTAGATTTTAATAGGTTTTAAAATACAACCCTATACTTATATGATATTACTAGAATAATATATATATATATATATATATATATATATATATATGTATAACTAAATGCTAGTCTTATCGTTAGTAGGCCTCATTCACGAAGCCGATCTATAAGGTGGGTATAAGGTTGTGGCCTATAAAATGGCGCTTAATGGGTGTACACTCACACCCACCGCTTGCTTGATTGGTGGAGGGTCGTTAGCCGAACGGGTAGGATAGGGCAACCTCATCCTCTCATTAAAAGTATAATAAGAAATACAAAGTAACTACACGTTTTAAAATTTCCCAATCTTAGTTACTTTAGGAAAAGTGAATTGATGCAATCCCATGAAATTACACTTTGCACCTTGCTAAGAAGTTAGTGGAGCGTGTGTGGTTTACCGGCACACTAATTGGTTCTAAGCAAAGGTGGCAAAGGGTGATTCATTGTTTATCATAGTTCGATGGAGCGTGTGTGGTTTATCGACACATCGAATAGGTGATCGTTACAATGAAGGCACCATGTGAATTTGCATGGTAATTCACACCCGCTTTGTGATCCTCGGCATCCCAGTCACAAACAAGAGGGGCATATCGAGATTGAA